GTCCCGCCGGCGAGAGAACGCTACTCGTTCGCGCATCCAAATGACAGAGCTCCGCGGTTTCGTACCCAAATTTCTCCCACTCTACCACCTAGTCGCCGCCGTAAATTCCTCCACTCGCTACGCGCGACCAGCGGCAAATATCACGGCCGCCGCCGCCGCCACCGGTGTATACACCGGCTCAAGTAATACATCGCGAAAAAATTTATAGCTGGCTATTGGGGCTCCTATTATGTATTCAATAACAATGCAAATAATATGTATATAATGTAATATTTTATTTATGTATACCAACAACATAATACATCATTACACAACATAATACACTATAATATTAATTTACTAAAAAAAATTAAAATCAAAAAAAAATCAAAATACAAAAAACATCAAAATAATTAAAATAGAAAAAAATCAAAATAGTTGATATACAAAAAATTTAAAATGGTTAAAATACAAAAAACATCAAAATAATTAAAATAGAAAAAAATCAAAATAGTTGATATACAAAAAAAAATCAATCGGAGTCATAATCTGAAGAGCTTGTATCTCCTGTTCCTATCGTGAGAACATGACGTTCATCTTCTTCGGATAACTCGTCCATAATTTCGTCAGTAATATGTTCCAAGTCCCAAAACTTGTCTTCCACCTTTTTTACGTGTTCAATAAAATTTTTCCACATATCCGGACTTACGTGTTCCACGCCTTTTTGCAACAATTCCATTACGTCCTTTAATTTGAAAGTTTTGTTATGGGTCCGGACATAACTTTTAACGGACGACCACGCGAGCTCGATTGGGTTGAGCTCGCAGTGATATGGAGGTAGTCGCAATACGAGTTTGCCGTTATCTTTTGCGAGCTCATCAATTACGTATGTGTCGTGCTTTTTTTTTATTTTTTTAACTTTTTTCATTAAATCAATTTTAATGATAGGATGAGTAACGACCTCACCTTTACTCTCGAGCCAATCTATTATAGCCTGTTTGTTCCAAGACATCACTGGTATTTTCTGTTTTTTTACCGAATGGTAAGAAGCATTATCCATGACGATGATGGCGTTCGGTTTTAGTAATGGCAGGGTCTTGACAAACCATTCGTAAAACTTATCGCCATTCATTTCGTCATGGTAATCCGCAGAATTGGTCTTGGATTCGAAACACAATAGGCCCCCCGGAACAAAACCGTCTGACGACCCGATGTGTAACACTATGAGACGCTTACCCTTGCCCGAGGGTGCCTTTTGTCCTGTGGTGAGACCTTGCAGGTGTGCATCTCGTGTTGAGGTGACTGTTGTATCCATCCACGTTCTGCTGTGCGTCTCGCCTGCATTGACCCACGTCTCGTCTAAATAATATATGGGCCTGTTTTGTGCTCGGTAATGCCTTATTTTGAACAAGTAATTTCGGCGCCAAGTTATCAAATCTTCTCTTTCGAGAAGAGCACTGTTGCGATTTTTCTTGACGTACTCAAATTGTAAATCTTTCAATATTAATTGGAAAGACGTACGTTTAAGATTCGGTAATGAGTCGTCCTCGTTGATGGCAATTAACATTTTCGGAATTGTCGGCACCTCACGGTTCCTCCAGAAATTGTGAATTTTTTGCCTTATGGCATTTTTGTCGAATTCGTCAACTTTTTGGAGTATCGTAGGTCTTACTTTTTTTTTGTTTGGCGACGACACTGTACCCTCCTTCTTGTACTCACCCAATGTAGTTTGAATTGTACGTTGCCCAATACCAGTGGTTCTTGAAATGTCAACGATAAGGTCCCTGAACCCCAATTTGGGCAGCGTTGGATTGTCGAGCTGTTGTTTGATTTTGTCTTTGTACACATTGATAATTATTTTTTTTTGAGCAGTGCCAACGAACTAAAGAAAAAAATATATATTTAAAAATTAAGAATTTGCAAATATAATAAAATTTAAAACAAAATAAATTAACTTAACTTATTTCTTAAAATGAATAATTTATTCGTTAATTTCACGTTAAGAAAGTAAGTTAACAGTTAACAGTTAACACTTACTTTTCCTCTTGGATTTTTTCTGGCAGGAGAAATATTTACGACGTCCTCCATGTTGTCCATGTTGTTCGTATAAAAAAAACAATTACGTATTTAAAAGCGAAAAAACTGTGTGCGCGCAAAAATGAAAATTGTATGTATGTATACGTAAACGCGTAATATTGTGATAACACTAGAGCACACGCTGTATACAAACACTGACACAGTTTCAAGGGCGGCGGCCTCGTCGGTGGCGGAGACGGCGGCCGCGACGGTAGCGGCGACGGTGGCGGCGGCCAGAGTTGACGGCGGCCAGCGTTTGGGAAGGTTTAGTGGTGGGA